CCATAGGCTTGTGCTAAAAATATTAGCATGTTGTATTTGTGGGGAAAATGTGTCCAGATAAAGACAAGTGTTTGTCTGTGAATGCTGCGAGTTATAGTGAAGCTGATTTGAGTATTTGTGTTTGAAACTGTCTCTATTAAGCCATGTTTAATGTGTGTTTAATGTGTGTTTTGAATCAACTAAACTTTACAGCACTTCACAAAACTCCGCCGCCAACTAGTGTTTTGGAGGTGTAACTGCAGAGTGACACAGACACACCACTGCACAAGTACGTATAAATGCTCACAGTGGCGTAAGCTATGTGCATATCTGTCACACAAGTCTAAATCTCACTTAAGGGGGAAGACAGGAAGGACAAAAGACATACAAAATACTGAAGTCACTGCTCCTGCTGAAGCGCTGCAGTTAGACATCATTACTGCAGGTAAGTGCTATAGTCAGCTGAACTTGCTCATTCCATGACAAACACAGTTCTGTGTTGCACGTGGCCAGTAAGGGTTTTATCACTCACTTCCACTCATCAGTGGTTGGTTTGACACTCAGTTTTGTGGACCCTCTTCGTGAACATGGAAACAAAGTTAAAGTGGGTAGGGAGAGAGTGTACGGGCGGTTTGGGAAAGGCTCTTCCTCTCCAGAACAAACTGACGTGGTGAATTAAACCAGTAAAAACACACAATAAAGCAGTTTCACTTTACAAATTATTGTTTCTCCTACACTGTTTATCATGCAGGGGCTGCTAACTACCAACACGAGAACTAAAATGGCCGTATCTAGAGCCAGTGTTTGGTTTGCCAGTTCTGGGCTACTGTAGAAACATGGTGGTGTCACATGGTGATCTCTGTAGACGAGGATTGCTCCTTATGTAGATAAACAGCTCATTCTGAGGTAACAAAAACCTGACGATTCTTATTTTCATTGATTATACACTAAAGAAAACATACTTAATATATCATATTCCATCTCTGTCAATATATCCTTTCAACAAGGGAATTGAACAAGAGTGTGTGGAATTTAATCAGTCAGTGTTACTTCGATGGCTGTTAATGTGTGTTCAATGGTGGAAGAAGTACTCTGATATTTTACTTCAGTAAGAGCAGTAATATCACAGCATATAAACACTCTGTCACAAATCTAGTAAACACATTAATGTGTTCATAACTTTAATGTTGCAGCTGGTAAACGGGGAGCTAATTTTAATCACTATATACACTGCTGGTAGCTTTACCTTCTGGGATCAATGTTTTATCTTAATCTGTAATATTACATAATAATTTATTGGTTTATTATATTCTATGACTTTGCACCATTGCAAGTGTTGCACTGAAAATGTGGTGTGTGTGTTGATTAATTAAGTGTGCGCATAGCAATTTACTCAGAATATTCATCTGTGTCTCAAGATATCAACAAAATCAAATCAAAGACAAATAAAAAAACTGCTGTGCTGCAAATATAAAAAAAAGAAAATCATACATTCTCATTTATTTTTTGTTCCACAAGACAAAACAGTGAAATAACCAAACACACACTAACACATAAACTCCCACGTGACTTTCCCACTCACACACACACCTTATCATCACCTTCACATCAGCGCTCAGATTCAAGTCTTTACCTCTGAATTCAAGTCTTCTACATATTGACCGCTCACGAGGTGATGATGATGATGACGACGATGCGTCCTGAAGCAGCCGAGCTGAGACTGTTTCCCTGCAGCAGCTGAAGATCACCAGATGAGACAGTTATTCAGTGGCTGAACTGAGACAATATGCATCACTGGTTTTATTTCACAACTGTGTTGTGAAATGAGGAAATCTGGACACGTTACAGTCCCTCTTAGATTAGATTCATTAACGACTGTACGCCACTGACTCATCACTGTATCCTGTCTGCTCGGGTTAGCTGGCTCTCTTTACAATTTCTTACACTTTTTCATTGGCATTCTCTTGTTTACAGAGGCATCATTGGTATACTACCAGTATATTTATGTGTGTACATTAGCAAAACTTTGAAAATGGCTGTTCTCCATCCACAGAACATGTTATTGTCTGTACCGAGGGCACGTACAGAGTTTGGCAAGCAAGCATTTATGTCTGCAGCTCCTCATCTCTTGTTGGTTCCTCTCGGCTGTTTAAAAGGATTTTTGGACACAAGCTAGTCTTTGTAATCATGTTTAGTCACCTGTTTTTGCATTTCTATGGATCATTTCTAGTATATATTATCATACTTTTGGGCTTTTCTATGTAGTTAATCTTATTCTGTGTTTCATATTGCTTGTTTTAGAGCTGTACATTTTTTACATTTAGTATTTTTGTTCTGTGTTGTCTGGAACTTTATGTTGCTGCCTGTCTCGGCCAGGACACTCTTGGGACACTCTTGAAAACGAGTGGTTAAATAAAGACTAAACAAATAAATAACAGCATTAAGATTTATAGGAAAACACAAAATAAGAAGTATAAATAAGCAGGAGCGACTGCAACAGACTGCGTGCATGGTCGTCACATGCGCACTGCAAGATGTACACTGATTTTAGAACAGTAAAAAACATCACACTGGACTGTTTAGAATGAGCAAGCAATCAAGAATCAGCTGACACTAGTCATTGTCGTTTTGGAGACGACACTCCAGTGATCTTTTGCACAAAAACAAACAGGAGTAAACTTCAGTTTTTTGTACTGAAGGTCAGATTTTCAACGCCACGACATGAACAGTGTTGGAATGTAATGAGGAGAGATGATGCTGATGGTTGGTTTATTTATTTATCTGGGCTTGGTTGAGATGGGTTTGTATATTTCATATCTAAGACTGTTGTTTACTCATTTGTATCAATGGTTGTAAATAAGTTTGGGATAGTTGCTGACAATTTCTTTTTTAAATGACACGTGACTACTGAGAATGAGCTGGGATTATATAGGTGTACACTTCTTCCTGCTGCTTTTCGAGCACGTCTGTTGATGTGTTTTTTACGTTTTTACTTTGCGCAAAATAAAGTCAATCATTCATACTCAAATAACCTTTACACTTCGATTCCACTGCATTTGAGAAGCAAATATTTTACATTTATTTTAAAGCTTTATTCGGTTTGCAAATTTACATTGCTAAAACATCAGTATTATTCTGGAAGGGGCCATGCTGCAAAATGAGTACTTTAACTTTTGGTGCACTGAGTATATTTTGATCTTTTGTATTTGAGTATGATTTTTCAGGCAGGAATGTGACTTGTAAGAGATATTTTTACACCCCAGTGTTGCTATTTTTACCAAAGTAAAAGATCTGACTGCTTCTTCCATCACTGGACTTGAGTTAATGCACCCAATAATTATTTTCAGTGATCTCCACAGAACCTTTTAAGTCATCTCTTACATTTTAATTGCTCACACACTGTCTGCAGTGCAGGCAGTAACAACATCAAAAGTGTCCTGTGGGCTGTTGTTTCTTTATATGTATTTTTACTCTCTAGCTTCAAACTGTGCCTGACCATTGACGTGTTTGTGCATTTATCCAAAACCAAATGTTGCATTCTGCATATCTGCAGGAGCTGAGGTGCATTTTCTTGAATCTGTTCTTTCATTTCTCTCCTTTCTTTCATTTCTGTCCGAACAGATGTCAAAACCAACGATGAATCTGGCTTGAATCTTATTTGCATAAATCTGTTTTAAGTTTTGGTGTCTCTTTGTCTTTGTCAGTCCAGACTTTATAAATCCAATCTGATTCCAATCGAGATTAAACAAGCGTCTGATTGAGCTGCCAGTGTGAACAGAAACATGCACATGTGCTACAACGTCACATCTCAACACCAGTGACCTGAAGTCAAGTTCAATTTGGACACTGAAATCAAAAAGTAAATGAGATTTGTTTGAATAAGAGGAGTGTTCTGATTATTTTGGGGGCAGTTTGGCTGATAGCTGTTAACACTGGGGATGAGAAGACAAAATATTTTAAAGAGCATGAAAAACAGAGCTTGTGTGGTATTTGGGGAAACACATACAGCCACAGGATGAGCAGACAAACAAGCTGTGTCGTCTTCAGAACAAGTGTGTTTTATATGTACAGAAACACAAGTGAAATCTTCTTGTTTGGCAACGTTCAGACCAACGTTACAGCTGCATCACAAGACACAGCCTCCTCATTTATTTCAACAGCCCCTTTTACACTTGCCTGTCGAAGGCAGGAATGTCACACCGTTATTTTGCCTCGCCGCTCTTTATAAAAGCTACGATCACAGAATGGGGGGGCAGAGTGTTCTCTTCGTGGCAGCAAATTTATTAACAGCACCGAATTGATATCTGTGTAAAAGGGAGAGCTGGCAGGACGGGATGGGTGTGAAGTTTTGATGACGTGTTATATTTCCCCCGTTAAAGTTATTTTTTGGCGAGTTTTTCCTTGTCGGCTGTGAGCGTTCAAGGACGTCTAATTGGGCTTTATAGATAAAATTAAAACTGATACTGAATGATGTTTTGACGACGTGTTATGCCATGCGACCCACTGCCTGAGTTTTAAAAAGTAACATGTAGCAGTTAGCAGCTAACTCAAAGAAGAAGAACAGAGTCCGAAAATGTCTGCAAATTGGGAAAACAATGAGATTCGGGAGCTTGTTTCCCTCCGAGCAGAGGAAGAGATGAGCCGAAATGTAACAGAGACAGTAAATGATTGTTGTTGCCATGTTATGCCGTTGTTATTGTTTAGAGAGCGCTGCCATGTCACACCAGAGGCCGACACTGTCGTATTACACGTCAGGCCGCCATACCTCTTTTGCCTCAGGAACGCCTACATGCTATTTAAATTCACACACTGGGGCGACATGATGCTGCATGGTTTGGTTTCCTTATAAAAAAAGCAAAGGCGATGTGATGAAGGGTGTCGTTGCGGCTCCATCACTGGATCTCTGTGTAAAAAGACTAATGAGACAACAGCAGAGGACAAAAAGAAAAGGCCAACTGTTAGTTGGTCTGCAATCTGTTCCTCTGCAGCTGAGTCTGTTCCACGTCTTTCAACACATTTTGTTTTAATGCGTTACATCCTTTAATATCTCAGAGCTGTAAACAGTCATCGGAATAAAATCTGATATCAGCAGCAGTTAAATACTGAGAGAGGCCTGCGGTGTAAATGTGGCCCCACGAGGCCTCCAGCTGCCTCTCAGCAGAATCCCACTCTCTGTCGGACCTCTCTGAGGACCGGCGCAGCCAGTTCCCGGGCCCTGCATGTCCCCTGAGCCAGCACTCCCTCCAGGTGAGCAGGGTCAGACCTCAGCCTCTCGATCTCCTCCCTGATGGGCGTCAGCCTCTGGATCACAGCCTCAGTGACGAGCTTCTTATAGACACCAGTGTCCATCCCTTTGGCCTGCGACACCGCCTCGTCCACGCTGATCCTCGCCATGGCAGAATGGATCGTCACCAGGTTGGACACGCCTGGCCGTGTCTCTGGGTCAAAGGTGACCTCAGAGGTGAAGTCAGTGACTGCACGGCGGATCTTGAGGGCAATGTCATCAGGAGAGTCTGTGATGGTGATCGTCGCCCTCGCTCGGGGGTCGGATTTGGACATTTTGACAGAAGGGTCACGGAGGGATTTGACCTTTCGTGTGGAGCCTGAGGGAGGAAATCATATTAAGAAACTTACAAGTATGATGACAAAAAAAAGAAAAACAATATATTAACTTCCAAGTATGAAACTAATATTACTGCCTGGTGCTTGTGTGCCTCCAATAACCAGTCAAGTTGCAGTTTACATCCATGTCTGTCCAGACTCATATGATATATATATATATATATATATATATATATATATCGGGAAACACAGAAGATCTATACAATGACCACAGTATTAACAGGGTTCTGCACATTTTGCATTTCAAAATTCCAACTTTCCAGACTTCTTTGTCGAATTTTTTTAAACCATATTTGACATCGGAGGACAAAAAGCCACTCCTGGAAAACTTTTTATCCATTGTGGCCCTTCAGTAAACACTCCTACGCAGAAAGTTGGATGACATTCCACATCTCTGCCCAAAGACGAAGCAAACTAACTGGTGCTCTCTATACTTGTACTATTTTCCCTGTCATACTGAATAAATAATATCACACTGTTATTACCCCTGTATGTTTAAGTCTTTTTTATATCGTATTTCATTTATAAAGCCGTACCAGGTAAATTCCCTTCGTACATTTGTACTTTAACTGAACAGAGATCAGACAGAAGGTACAGTCTGAGATCTCAAGACTTAGTTTTGTCGTCTGTTCCTGGTGCACAAACTGAGCTGAGAAAGAAAGCTTTCATGTGCTCTGCTCTCCTCACGTGGAATAGCCTTTACAAGATTTGAAACTACGTGAACTGGCCTGATTTTAAAGCTATCATAAGTACGATGAATCAGAGTCAGTTGATTCTTGCCGTGGGGCATAGGTGTTACTGTTTATTTTTTATGTTGTTTATTGCGTGGTTGTTTGGCTGTAACTTCTTCTTATGCTGCTGTCTCGGCCAGGTCTCCATTGTAAAAGAGACTGTTGATCTCAACGGGACTTACCTGGTTAAATATGGGTTAACTAAAATCAATCAATAAATAAATACAATAAAATAAAATCAGTTAAAAGTTAACAATTTAATTTTGTTTTGTTTTTTAATTGCTTCTAAGCTCAAATTAGTTTTAGAAATTTGAAAATTCAAAAAAATAAAATAGAGACAATAGTCTGGAAACAAAAATATTTTTCCACACTCTCTTTTCTTTTCTCCACACTTATCCAGACCTGGAAATTACTAAAATCAATTCTACACTTTTCCACACTTCACAAGAACCCTGTTTCACAGTGGGCACCCAGGATTAGTGTCCCCAATTCAGTATCTGACCAAATGTCTCCCCTTCTGTTCCTGAGATATGACGCTGATTAACGGCTAGAGAAGTGTTTTATGCAGAACATTATGATGTCACAGTGACGTTGCCCTTTGACCTTTTGATATAAAATGTCATCACTTCATCATTTTATCCTGCCAGACATTTGTGTGAATGTTTGTCATAATTCATGCATGAATACTTGAGTTATGGCCAAAAACTTGTTACGTAAGGTTATAGTGAGATTCAACTAGTGACAACCAAATTTCAATCAGTTCATGGCTGAGTCCAGGTGGATGTTTGTGCCAAATTTAAAGAAATTCCCTCGAGGTGTTCTTGAGATATCATGCTTACAAGAAAGGGACGGATGGACAGATGGACAACCTGAAAACATAAAGCCACCAGGCACAGCTGTTTTTAGTATGGAGGCATAAAAATACGGCAATAAATAATATATATAAATACAATTATACATGTTGTATTTGTATCTTTACAAAAGAGGAGCCCTTTCCTTTAGAGCTCTATCTTTGTGTTCAATTCTGGCATCTTTGTCCGGGAATATTAATTGTAGATCAAAATCTCTTCCTCTCAGTCTGCGTGTGACTCCAACAACCTCCACCAGTCAGGGGGCAGGGCAGCCTGTATTTAGTCAACGAAGCATTTCCTGCTTAATGCTGGGACGGTACCAAAATAACTGAAGGAAACCTAAATAAATGCGTGAGTATTTTGATCGACTGAGCTTCTTTATTCTTTGTTTGTCGACTGAACGCCAAGAGAATGCCTAAGAGAGACTTAAGGAAGTTAATCAAACTGAAAATGTTCAAACACATGAGAAGAATTTAAAACTATTCACTTTTTCTTTTATTTGTCCATTAAATTTCCTGTAAATCAACTTACTGTTGTAAAATCATTCCAGTACTGGTTTTTTAATTTGTATAGATACTACTGTGGAAAATAGTTACGTGTGTGAGGATATTTTTAAATATCTACTGATGGATTTCGGCTGGTGAATTTCTGTTTTTATTAGAAGTGAGATGTGAACGACGTGTCCGTGTAACAAGTTAAGATACACCGCTCACTGTTTGATCTGGTCGATGTCAGCTGGTGCGAAATGATGAAATGAGTCTTTGTGCAGGAGCGTTTTAATCGAAGAGTTATAGTTTCATTACTGTTGCCTGGTGTGTGTGTGTGTGTGTGTGTGTGAGAGAGAGAGACCGTCTCAGTGTGAAGCAGATGTATCTCGGTGCGAAGGGATGAGCAGACCTCGGGAGCCGAGATTTCCTCTCCTGTCTTATTTATCAACCCCCGTCCTTCTGCCATCTTGCTGCTCCATCTCTCTTTCTATCCCAAACTAGAAGTCCACGTCCCTCCCACACGCCACATCTCGTTTATTGGTCCGTCAGACGACCTTATTTCAGGCAAATTAAAAAGCCTTCGGTTCGGTTTCAAAGGGAAGGTGGTGACTGGCAGCTCTGCTTTGCCAAAGACTAGAAACGAAGATGGGATCGACCGGTCTGAGCCAGATACTGCACACACACAAAACCCTCCCTGAAGTCATCTCTAGGACATCCTCCCCAAATCTATTATCACTCTATTATTCTGATACAAGAGGAAGAAAATACTTCTTTAATCAAAGCTGCGCTGCACACATGAGTGACTCCATGTTGTGCTTTATGATACCGATAACCAACGATGATGAAACAGGGAGAACATGTCAGCCATGTGTGTGTAAAACTGGAAAACACAGAGCAATAATTTCAAAATAAATCCGTGAAAACATCATATTGTATGTTCATACTTTGTTAAATTTTTCCTTCCAAGTGTAACCTGTGATTGGCCATAAATATTTTTTCTTTAATTTGACCTTTATGTAACTAGAAAACTTCTAAATAGACTTATTTTGCAAGGGAGACGTGGCCAAATGGCAGCACACAAAATTAAAAATATAAAGGCAAGAAAGAGCGGATTACAAAAAGAATTGTTTATCATACAAATTCAAAAATTCTCGACTTTGCCAGCAATAGTTCCTTCTGTTTAATTTCATTCAACAGACTGCACTGTGACCGAAGCAGAAAACAGGAAACTTTCTTATTCATCACTACCCAAGAATTAAACAGCAAATGAACATCCTGACTAACATCTAATGATTGTAAAATAAACTCTGTTATATAAGTTCCTCTGCTGTAGCTTCAGAGGTTAAGATGCCAGCCATACACAGCCACGTCACTGGTTCAAATCCAGCTGGGGACTTTTGTTGCATGTCATTCCCAACTTCTCTCCCTTGTTTCCTGTCATCTCTCTACGACTACTCTTATCTATTAATATAAACTGCTGAGAAAAAAAGGAAAAGAGAGAGAAATACATTTGCAAATAGAAAACAGAAGTATACTAGAGTTGCAGCTCTGATAAAACACACAGCTGCTGACATTTGCTGCTTTGCTTTTCTGATGTATTTTTCCTGTTCCAGTTGTCTGATGGACAAACATTAATGATGTTACAGCATCATCCACATGTTTCCAGTGACTAAAACTGATGCTTGATGGTAGAAATCACTGGTGTCACTCCCATCAAGCCTGTCACAATAATAACAACTCCTTTTTGACCTATTATCAGTCGAATACAGCACAAAGACTGATAAACATTATTGTTTCCTGTAAATATACACTCAATCTGAACTTGATTTACGCAACACGTTGCAAAACAGTTGGAACACAGGCATGTTTACCACTGTGTAACATCACCTCGTCTTTTAACAACACTGTCTTTTAACATCCCAAGTGTTTGGGAACTGAGGACACTAATTGTTAAAGTTATGAAGGTGAAACTCTTCAAGAATTAAAAGACCGTCTGTGTGAGTGAACAGGCCAAAATCCCATCTGATCACTGTGAGTGATTAGTGTCTTCATACAGGAAGTGTCTTGCAGCTGGCAAACAAAGGCTTCTCCACTTATTAAATGTGTTTCAGTTAACGTCCCCCACTGTGTGTCGAAAAGGATTTGCAAATCATTGTATCCTGTTTATGATTTCCGTTTTAAAAACAGCGTCCCAACTTTTTTGGAATCGGGGCAGCCTTATAAAGAGCAACGAACTTTGAATTCTTCAGAATACTCAGACACTGGAACTGAAAAATATTAAAGTATCCGAAATAAATAAAACAAACTACATTTAATTTAATATTAAACATGCTGAACAGAGGTATATCTTATCTTATTTCTTAATATAATGCTGATCCAGTTTCTCAGCATTTACGACCTTTGTTAACCAAAAATGCAGCTACATATCAGCTGTACGTTAGCGACAAGTGACAACAACAAGTACAACAAAATAAAATGTTTCACATTAGCCTTTACGTTAGTTGTATTTCCAGTTTTCGTTGTCACTGTTTTTAAACAAAGTTAGCATACCGGGTTGTTCATGCTAACGTGCTCTCCTCTCTCAGTCGGCTTAAACCCAAAACGTGCACACCACGAGTCGTGGAGTTTGGCTTTGAAACAGAGTAAATTTGGCCGTATTCTTCCAAACCTTTCTGGCTAGTCAGTAGTTGTTGGGAAAAACATCTATTAGCTCCAACGTTATCGTCACTTCACTTGGTTCACTGTGGCTGTGTGTATGTTTTTGTGTTTGTGTGTGTATTAGCTGAGCCCTGCCCACGATGAAACTCCAACACAGAGAGCAGACAGAAGGATAAAATCAGCGCGACCAGAAATGACATCAAAACGTGTCTCAGCATAGCTTTACTCTGTTCTATTCGGTTAGGCGCTGTGAAAACAACACATAAAGCCTAATGGTTGGGATACCCTGCTGTTTACTCTGGCATCATGTTGGATAAAAAGTTGGTGGCATTCTTTAGTAAACAACCACACATGTAAACAAAACAGCAATATTGTACGATATATGGAAATGACCTCAAAAATGTTTTGCTGACCTCAATAAGTCGATATCGTAATTATCATGACACCTACAGAGAGGGGCTTCTGCCGTTTTGTTTAAGAAATCCAAAGAGGGAAAGACAGCTGTTTCTTAAAACAAGTGCAGTAAAGTAAATGTAACCTTTTTTCCAGCTCAAATCAAATTGCAATTGTCTAAAATGTTGCAGGGTCGCCACTCTGCTGAAATGATACACTTCAAGGACTTTTCAAGCACATTCAAGGAGAAATTACGTCAAACATAGGGGCCAGTAATTCACATAGATGCTCATATATGCCGGCCTAAATCCATCTAATAATCACAGTCTACTCGAAGCTTACGACAAACTGCCAACACTACAGTAAACTACAGTAAGCTTTATTTCTGTGTTACTTCAACGCGAATTGATGTGATCACTATAAGCAGTTTCCACTGTATATAAAAACATCAAGTAGCAATTTCTTTAATTAGTGAAAACAACATTTTGGTGATTTATAACCATTTTTAACATGACATTAATATCCAAATACAATATTGATTTTTTTTTTGACAATCAAACAATCCACAGAGACTCACACTCAGAGATCCCAGTAAGATAAATCCAAACACTTTTAAGATCCTCTTTTAAATCCGAGCACTTTAGAGTACTTGACTTTTTACATTTTTTTTTAATTCAGGCACTTAAAAGTACTCGCACACGTACTCAAGTTTGTCAAGTCCCGTGGCAACTGTGAAAATCCAGGCTGTTTGGTCTTAATTCTGGCAAAGCAAAGTGCTCGGTTCTTTCTAAATACAGACATTCATTTCTGGAAAATTAATAAAACAAGCTGATCTTTGTTAAAACTGGATGAAATATTCGGACTGCTCTGGCAGATTTTTTTTTCGCTTGTTTTAAATAAATAAAGTTTTAACGCTGGGTTATGGACAAAAAAGATAAAAAGGGTGGAGATTTAATTAAGAAATGTCACACAACTCACAGCTACAACCCTGATTCCAAAAAAAGCCAGGACAATGTGTAACATGAATATAAAACAAGAACGCTAAATGCTTGTCAGCATACAGTGAGGGAAATAAGTCTCAACACATCTTTAGTTTTAAAATTAAACATACTTCCAATGCAGCTATTCAAATTAAAATCAGACCAGACATTGGTATTAACTTAATAAAACTACACTGATAAAGAAATCAGAATGTTTCAATCCATAAAATCGAGGTGCAGTGAAGTGGAATGACACAAGAAAAAAGTGTAAAACACACTAACTCAAATTTATTTAATAATCGGAGAAGCCTTTGTTTACAGTGCCATACAGCTTCCTGTATGAAGAAATTAATCACTCACAGTGTTCAGATGGGATTTTGGCCCAGTCTTCCACACAGATTTCGGGAGGTATGTTTGTGAATCTTGGGAATGAAATTTCACTTTTATAACTTCAACAATTACTGTCCCCAAATGCTTACTGAGTGTTGTGAAAGAAAATGTGATGTAACACACTGGTAAACATGCCACTGTCCCAAATTATCTGGAACATGTTGCAGGCTCCAAATTCTCAACTTTTTTTGGAATCAAGGTTATTAAAAAAAAAAAAATCTTTTGTCACTGTAAAAGTAGAAATTTTATCTCCAGTCTAACAGCATCTGTGGGGTGATTTCTCATTTGAACGGCTGCTAATACTGACTGAATTTATTTAGTGTGTATTTCATATTGTCCCATGACGATTAATCGTAACCCTTTTTTATTTTTCTATTTTTACATAAAAATAGAAAGGAAAAGCTATTAAATTCCTGCCCCGATCACCAGCTACCAGAGATCTATTTTAATTGGCAGTACACAGTCTTCAAACGCACATATCTGATTAAAACCTAGTGTGTGTACAAGTGCCTTCATGCCTGCAAATGTGTGTGTATGAGTGTGTGTTCTTACTGAGCAGGGCGCTGGGTTCAGGGAACAGGTCTCCGTAGTGGTTGTTGAAGATGCGAACGAGATCCTGAACCAGCTCCAAATGCTGGACCTGATCCTCTCCGACGGGGACGTGAGTGGACCTGAGAGATGAAACCACAGAAACAACATGAGCTTCTTCAGCTACTGATGGCACAGGAGGTGAAATACACAGCAAGATGTGAGCACAAACTGGAGGCACTTTGGAGTGACTGCTGGAGCTTTTCAGGGTTGGTTTTGCAACTGTCACCCGGGAGGAAGCGATCCATTAATATTGTCTTTGATAAGATCCAGAGTGCATTAAAGATGAGTTTCTCTCTGGTACGTTGCCCTTTTTTCTCAGGAAATTAGTCTCTGGCTGTTTGATGGTTCAAACAGAAACAGCTGAGGAGAAAGCTTTTAAATCAGTAGAAATATGCAGCTTAAGTTTTTAATTTTCATTGCAGAAACGCAAAATAATCTAACCATCAACTGATGTGATCGCTAACACAACTTGAATCAAAATCTGCTGACGCAGCAGCAGCACACTAGGTTGCATCAGACAATATCTCCACACTAAAATATGACACAAGAAAATATATAAAGCAAGTAAACACCCTGTTTTACTGCATTTTAAACACATTTAGGAGTATTAAGGAGCTGAATCACACATACTTATAAAATCTATTTTTTGGAGGAGATAGTTTTGGTTTTATTTGTGCAGGTTTTGAAATTTCAGCCTCCACCCCCACACAGTGAGGTGAATGGAACTGAAACATGTCTTTCCAAAAGCAAAGTTACTGCCTCTCCTGCTCTCCTGATAAACCACAGAACACTCTGTTAACAGTTTTCACTGGAACGACTTTATACTGAAGAAAATAGTCCCTGTGAGAACAGTTGGCATGTGTTGTGGATTAAAGAGAGGAACACAAACTTAATTTCTGGAAGATGTTGCTGTGGAATTTTTAAACATGGTTTTTCAGCATTTTGAATGTCTTGTGTTGGGATGAAGGCTGAAATCTCAAAACCTGGATAAAAAACAAACCATTTGCTTCTTCAGAAATGACAAGAGTAAGTAGACGTAAGTAAATGCATTTTTATTTTTTCTTTTGTGATACAAGTGCAGTGCTCGTTTAAAACATCCCTGTTAAACGTGCCGACTGTTTGGCCTGTGGTATTGCTGCTTACAGCTTTCTCAAGAACTGCTCATACAAACAACTTAACACTGCGCTTTTTTGTGTACTTAGCAGTGCACGTCAACCCCAATTCACACATTCTATTACCAAAAAGACTGACTTGATCAACAGTCTGTTGATGTGTCCTCATTCTCATTGCCTTGCAATTTAACACATACTTTACTTTGCTCAAAATAAAAAATATTCTTCGACACCTTTGTCCTTTCATATTCCATATGAGACTTCCATGACAGTTTATCACCCAAAAAATCTGAACTAAGACACTCTTTCAATGTAAACTCCATCTATTGACAGTGAAACTAATTTAATCCTTTTTTCGATTTGCAAAAAACATAAACTTAGTTTTAGTCGCATTTAGGGATAACTTGTTATCATCAAACCATCTTTTCAGTTTGACCATTTCATTTGTAATAATTCCTGCTAACACTTTTAAATCATCTCTAGAAATAAAAAAAATGTGTCATCCACAAACAACACAAATTACAATATATTTATGTCACTGATACACAAAATAAAAAGTTTATGCCCCCAAAATAGAGCCTTGTGGGACTCCACATCCAATCTTCAATAACTCAGATGAACCACCAGCAAACTGTACATATTGTCTGTTATCTAAATAACTTCTTAACCAGTATATGATGTTTAGATGTGAAAATTATTGAAATATGTTGCTATTCTGACTCATTGTGCCCCAAAATAATTAACAGAAGCCCCCTGAAGCACTTTAAAAAAATGCAGCTCAAAAATTTACTTCTTCCTGTGTACTTCTACTTCAGAGGAAAACATTTTATGATTACATTTACCTGACAGAGACATTTTATTGGGTATGTTGCAGATGAATGTTTACTCACGGATATATATCAGATAAAATATGACACATTATTGGTCATTAAACTATCCAGAATTATCCTAGAATTGAAAGTTTTACCTTTAATAACACCTGTTTCACTTTAAGTAAAAAATTGGAATGCAGGACTTTTACTGTGTGGTTTGATAGAATTAATATTAATAAATAATAGTTTTACTTCAGAAACAAAAACAGTTTTGAATACCTCCTCTACCACTGCAAATACCACTATTCCCATCTAGAGAAAGGGTGAAAAGTAAAGCAAGAAAGTGTTTGCTTGGGGCTGTCACATTACTAAATCCGCCCCTGAACAACACACTCAAGTCGCAGCTACTCCGTCAGCAACCTTATTGGTAAAATAAAATTAACAGATGTATTAATGTCCAAATAGGTGTAACAGTTGCTTGCTTTGACATAACCACTGCATGTATAAAGTAGGGCATAGATTTAACTGGTTGAGGTATTTTGCAGGTGGTAACGTTATAGTGTAATCAGTTCGCATGGCAAAGAAAAACTCAACCAAGACCGCGGCTCCTCGGGTTCAGTAAAACAGTGAGACATGCTTGATTCTGCAGAGCCATGAAGCCCTGCCTCTTGCTGCTGCACACAGCCACAAGCCCTTTTTTCACTGCCCGTTCAAGGTGGGAATATCACGAAGTTATGCCGCCTCACCGTTCTGTGTAAAAGGTATAATTGGGGAATGGGGAGACAGAGTTGTCTTGCCTCTAAGCCAGGAACTGAGGTAGTAACGCATGGGTGTAACATTATGACAATGTGTTATACGTGCGACCCACCGCCTGAGATTTGAAAAGTCAAAGAGGAAGAACAGTGGCCAAAATGTCCACAAAGTGGGAAAACAATGAGGTCCAGGGGCTTGTTACCTATTCCTTTAGAGGCTTAAGACTTTGTCTATGACGCTTAAGAACAACACACAACAACACAAACACAACATCCTACTCGTATGGAGATCTCACTTGTAGAGGAGGATATCGGCGGCCTGGAGGACAGGATACGTGTAGAGACCAACGCTGCCTTCATTCTTCTGTTTGCTCTTCATCTGTGATAGAGGAAAGAAAAATGAGCAAGTTGAGGTGGAAGAAAGAGAAAAACTAAACACAAGCAGGGATAAAAGCTGACAGGAGGGAAAGACTGACTCAAGTTGACTTTCTCTTTTCCCCTGAAAGAGCCATTCTCGCCTCTACGACTCATCGATTCTCAGACAAACGGGCTACGGATGAGTTCACGTGACATTTTTCCACCATGTTTGAGATCAACTCATGTGTTGGGTAAACAAAAGGTGTTTTCTATGAAGCAACAGAGACTGAGAACAGGGCTCTCTCGCTCGGCCTCAACATGTATTAAAGCTGCACGGGGCCCAGAGGAGAATCACTGTAATTATAAGAGTTTTTGGGGTAGAAAAACAAAACAATAAAACAGACAATAGGAATGTTGGAGAAATGCCGGAAAGTTGGAGGGAGCAGAAAAAAGGGAATGATCTTAATTTACTGAAGTTAAGTGCAGACGTGGCGATGATTAAATCAGCATGATTGTGAAGCACTGAATGAGTGAGACGAGGATCAACCTTTGATAGACATATCACATCAATAATAATCTCTAGATACTATCGTAGGAGCCATCTTCTCCTTCATCAGATTGCAGTTTGTTTGATAAAAGATTTGAGAAATCCAGGCTGGATTTTAAAGGTAGTGTCTGATTAAATGTGTTTAGATATGAAATAAATACTTTTAACCTCAGCTGATGAGACAGTTAGTAGGAAACAGATCTGACCACAGTGAGTAACAGGATATCAGTGTTGGGCTCAATTTGATTTCACATCAGTCAATTCAAAACATTATTTGCCATTGTATCTCCAAAATGACCATCTATACAGTTGAAAAAGAAGAATCAATTTTGTCACACAAGTTTTTTATTTGTATTTCCTTTATTTTCAGTAAGTGATTCATAACTAGCTCAGATATCTTTTAAGCAGCTTCAGTGAAGAGCAGCAAGCAACGTTACTGCAGTCCCTGTTTTGCAACACTATCTCCTAGAAATTACATCTGCATGTTACTACGCTGCTTTCTTAATTACGTTGTTGTGGTGATGTAATTGCTGCCTGGATAATGTTCAGAGACGTTTCTCTCAGGTAACAAAACATTTCATTCATATACTGCGTAGCTTTCAGAGGGAGGTGATTGTGGAGCATGGTGCAAAGTGCAGGACCTTTACAAGAGAGCCCCGGGATTATGCCTCTCTCTTGTGTTAATGTTAGACAACAAAAGCACTTTGGTTAAGGTTAGGAAAAGATTGTGATTTAAGTTAAATGTTGATTTAAAAAGGATTATAAATGATTCTGTACTCACTACAAGAGGATACTGTTTGCATGACTGCCTGTTTTGATGGAAAACAACTGAAACACGTGGACAATAAACATTTTGCAGATTTGTTCAGTATCAACATTTTTGTGATTTACCAGATATGTCAATTAGCAACATTTTCTCATTATGTTAATAGATAACATAACTTCTCAGCATTACATTTCCCTCAAAAACATATTTGCAGTTTCAGTTTAGTTGTATATAAATGTAATTTCTGGGAGACAGAGATGTGTATTTGTCTCTGTACAGGGTGTCTACAGGTATCAGACACCTTCATTTAATGCTTTTTAAGACCTTTGAGATCATTTTAACCAAATTTAAGATGGAATTTGGACAAATCATCTTTTTCTTATTGCAGCATTAAAGGTAAGTATACAGGTAAGTATGTGTGGTCGGGTGCAGAGGTAGGTTTACGTAGGTATATGGTTGTTAGAGTGAGTTTGGTTAATTTACACTTTGCCAGTAAAAGTAAAAAAACAGCATTAGGTTCAGTGGTGTGTTTAAAGATTTGTGACTTGAAATGTGGACTTTAACACAGAGGAGCTTGACTCATTTTGACAAGATAAATGAAATCAGACAAAATCTTTGTGACAATTAAGACCTCAAAATTCTAATATAACACTATTTAATGACTTTGAACCCTAATATCTATTAAATTAAAACCCTGCCAACACCCTAAAGTCATTTGGTGATTATAATAAAAACACCACAGTGAGTGTAAGTTGATCTACAAATAATACAAATACTATATAAATGTAATAACACACTTAATAAAAAAGTACTGAAGGCTCCCAGAATTGTTTAATAAATATCAAGTTTTACAAGATGTTTTTAGTGTGTTTTGTAAAGCAGCGATGCATTATTGTTAGCCCATATTTAAATGGTTAATAGGTGCTTATTAGAAGATCATTTGATACTTAATAACAGAGTAATTCTTATAACCATGTTTAAATACAATCACAAACTAAGTCAGGGTGAGTTTGCAACGCTGCACTATCGCACCATGTACCATAAAATAAACTCTGAGGTGTCACACATGATTATAAGTGACAGATATTTCTCTATCTCCCCGATCATTTATATGTGCATGTGTGAGTGTCGGCTGCAGGAAATATTCAGAGTCTAACCTTCCACTGAGGCAGGTGTCGGAGGCGAGGCATGCTGGTCAGACAGCCGAGGATCCAGGAGAGCTCAGCGTGCTCGGATACCTGCAGGGTGGAGGGAGGGGTGAGGGAGAGGGGCAACACATTCAGTTATAATTGTCTTAAAAAAAAACACACAGACACACAGACAGTATATTTTTGTCCTAAATGCAATTTGAATTTCACTGGGTCACACACTGAAGTCTGGTCCTGTTTTAGGATTCACCCCAGGAGAAATTATTAGAAAATTACCAGCTAAACTGATTGTTTTAAAGCATTTTAAAATAAAAACTTAAGATCAGGGGTTCTGACAGTAATAATAATTCAGTAATAGTATGGCAGTTTGGGTAGGTCTGGATTAAGTAAGTTATATATGTGCTTACACAGTGGACATATGATAGATGCATATCCACACACATACACATGTATTCTGCATATATCTGTGTGTTGTACTTTATTTAGTTATACAAAACAGTCTTCACCACAGAAAAGCATTTGAGACATAAATAGAAGAAATCAATTAAGCAGCAGATTAAACAAACAGATGAATGGGTGAGAGCTCTGCTATGGGACAGGAGGAGGGCGCCTCCTTAGCGCCTCTAAGTGGCAGAGACGAGTACTGCTCCTCCCTATCTGTCCTGACTCCTCACAGACAGGTGCACCTGGTCACACCTGTGTTCACTGTGAGGACAAGTTTAAACTAAAAATGAGAGATTAATATGCAAAGTAAAAAGGGAGACAATATAATTCCTATTGGTTTTTAAGGCTCTTAATGGCATCTGCCCCTCCTGTTTAAAAGAGTCCCTATCACCTTATGTCCCTCCATGAACCCTGGGATCCTCCGCAACTGTCCTTTTAACTGCTCCTGATGTCACTACAAAAATGTTTGGGGATGCTTCTTTTATCTGCTATGCCCCAAAAATAAGGAACACCCTGACTTTAAATATTAGACATGCATGCTCAGTGGACAGTTTTAAACGACAACTCAAAACACATCTTTTTAATAAAGCCCATAACTAGAAGCTTTCTGTTTTAGTATTTGTAACATGTATTTTTATTACTTGATTAATTATTACTGATTAATCTACTTGTTCTTCTCATTTCTGGACGCAAATTTCAGACGCAAACTGAGTAAGTCTACCTGTGACTGACTAACTCCCTTGCAGAATGGACTGCAGACCAGTTTCGGTTGTCGGCTTTACTGCGACACATCTGCCAAAGTTTATTTCAACTGAAAAGTCTTTAAACACTTTCACAGCAAAAACTGTGGTATGAGATTAATTTAGATTCATTAATCACAGAGCATGTCATTAATTAGATATATTTTTTTCATCACTTGGCAGCCCTAGTTAATTTACATTAAATCACAAGTTATATAGTAAAGACAGTATATTATTAGGTTCAGCAGGAGGCTTTTAGAAGAAGACAAAAAGAAATTAAAAGATGGATAAATAAGACCTCACAAATACACATTTTTAGACAATTTCATGACTTTTAAGGCCTAATATTTATAAAATTGTATTTAAAATATCTTAAAACTTTTTAAGGACCTGCAGACAACCTATGTTAATATGGCATAGCATGTGCATCTGGCAGTGGTAAATCAACTGCATATACATATCTGCTTTCATGGAGGCTGTTCTGACTGCGAAAAAAAATCTTGTGTGTAAGAGTGTATGTGGGGATGCAGGAAATATCCTGCAAATTAAACTTTATGGATGCTGGCTATATTGCCATCCACTCTTTCTCAGTGTGAAGTCAAAAGCAGACAGCGGGGACATAAAGCAGGATTTGGGGCAAACATGTGGGGGGCCGGTATTCATTACACACTGCAGACAGACAAGAGATGGGACAGATGTTGATGACAGCGCAGAATGGGATGGATATGGTTTTGAAGTGTAATAAAACTCTGATATTTAAAAGCTTGGGAAGAACAAGGCCTCCATTCATGCTGCATGACAAGAATGCACTGCAACAAGAGATATGCTGATGTTACGGATGGTGTGAGTATTACACTGATAGTGGGTTAACAGTTGGCCCAGCATTATAAATCCACTTCTGTCCTCGATACTTCTATAAACCCCAGAGGACTCGCAGATTTGCTGATTCATTCACTTCCTTTTTGATACCACTGACTTCAGCTCGTCACCAGATCTGCTCTTTTTTTTTTTTTTTTCTTCAATGGAGTGGAGTATTTTCTTTGGGCAGTCGTTGTATTTTTACATGTGGAGCAGGCGTGTTCAACAGGAGGGTCGCCTCGCTGCCAAGTTATGTGGCATGAAGCTAAACGGGAATAAAAATAGGACTGTGACTGTGTGTGTGTGTGTGTGTGGGGGGGCAGAGAAACACAGATGGACTGAACTCTCACACTCTTTCTCACACACACACTTCTGCTCCTTAACTTGTGAATAATAACAGAAAACACACACACACACACACACACACACACACACACGTAAGGGAGAACCAAACAGCTGTTCTGATTCTGTACATTTTACCCTGAAATCTTGGATCCACCGCAAACGTTAAGACCGTCATTATCCGTCTTGCTGACTTTAATGCTGGTTTATAAATGCATGTGTTTTTATAGTCCCTGTGAATTTCACAGAGTGTACAGTGGAGATAAAAATCAGGAGCAATCAAATAAGCAATTTGGGGGCCGGCTGGCATGTTGGCAGGTAAACATGAGTCGGCAGCTTTAATATAAACAGTCAAAGATGGCTGTCTGCAAGGCAAACTTAAAAAGAGATTAAAACTAGAAGCTGCCTTTTGAAAAGAGAAACATACATTTATAAGCGCTAACATACTTCACACAAAAGTCCACTGCAGCAACGATTATGTTAATGTTTTGTTAAATAACCACCTTAAATGTGAGATACAAATGTGCAGACATGAACTAAAGAACACAAACATATATCAGACGAGAGTTATTCATACTATATGTGATCACTTATGAATATAACAGCAGAGTAGTATTATTCATTCATCTGACCTCGCCGCATATCGACATTTGGTCATGGACTTTCCACGTCCAGGTATGACACGAAAGGTACCCTGGGTGCGTTGGTTGTTGATGTTCTGGGACACAGTGTCAAGTTCTGCCTGTGACGTGCATTGTCTTCGTTCAAAATACACTTCTGTTTTCACAGGAAATTTACCGTTTACATACAGTCTCTTTCACAATAAATGTACTACGTAAGTACAACAACATGTTTCTTTTTCCTCCAACAACTTAAGCACTACGCCAGGGTTTAGGCAACAAAAGCAAGTGGTTAGGTTTAGGAAAAAAGACCAGGGTTTGGCTTTATAATCTTACAGGATGCAAACTCTGCTTTCCCAGGTGAAAGTCGGTCTCACCCACCCTACTTGGACTTTCGCTGCCTTAACTTTCATTCTTGTCCCGCAAAGTTTCCCCCTGACACCGCAGAGCGCTGTTAAACTACAACGTCGACCGGCCGCATATCATGCCGATGTTAAAGGACGGCTTTTTCCTCAGTGTCTGACGGCACAAGGCACTGCCCAACCGCCAGATTTTGATGACTTTGGAGCGAAACTGGGTTGACCAAGCGGCAGCCTACGGGGCCAAAAAATGAAGCCAACATGACAGTGCCGAAAACTGCAGTTCCTCTTATGGCCACTTGAGGCTGGCTCCAAGAGTGAGTCAATCCTCATAGACCCTCATGTTAAAATGCCTGACTTTACAGCAGAAATTAACACGTTAACAGCCTGGTACAAAAAAAAGTTTAAGCCTCTAAAGCTAATCTCCCTGTTCATGACATCTGTACAAGAAATGAACCTTTATTTAGCTCACCAGTTTACATTTTATGAAGGTTTAGAGTCACACATAATTATTGGGAGGCCACTTTGAGTGACAGGCTGATAGTGTCCTCAGCTTCTCAGTCAGATCCACCCCTCACTCCTCCACAGTGCCAGCCTCTCATCCAAATAGGGTCAATTCTGGCTTCAAAATACCAATGGGTGACATCACAGTGGCTACATCCATTATCTTATATAGTCTATGAGCTTAAACACTAATTAAACACTAATAATGCACTGCAAGGGCATGCCAAGAAAGAGATAAAATTCAAAGTTCCCAAACATGTCTCTTATTCCCAACTCGTCAAACACCGACGCTTGGTCAGTGGTTCTACATGTCAGTCTTCAGGAAAGGTAACTTACACAAAGAACACAATAAATCATGTTTTCAAAACTGACCCTGAATTCCAGCGTGCAGTGAAACACAGCTGACATCTATCATCCATCCATCCTCACTCTCCTGCCCACCTGTGACTGCTGGAAGAGTATCGCCCTCTCCGGGTCGATGCCACAGGCCAGCAGGCTGGCTGCCATGTCCAGGATGTTGCTCCTGAGTCGTGCCGGGTCCTGAGGCTGTGTGATGGAGTGCAGGTCCACAATGCTGTAGAGCACCGAAGGATACTGGTCCTGCAGGGACACCCAGTTCTCCAGGGCACCCAGATAGTTGCCCAGGTGGGGCACCCCCGTTGGCTGGATCCCTGAGAATACACGCCCACCTCCTGGAGGCTCCTGGAAAGAAAGGGAATAGCTTCATTTACACTTTGTAAGTTAATGACTCTTTGCAAAGATTTAAGTATGTTCCTTAAAAAAAATCCTCTTCAATTAATCACGCATTGTCTTATGTTTTTCTATTTTTGCAGTGGTCGGGATGTTCCTGGGCACAGTGCGCCGGTGAGGTCGGACTTTACGAAAAGGTAGCGTCCAGGTGCCAGACTATAAGCCGCAGGCATCCAAGAGGAAGCTACAAAAATTGCGGAAAAAGTGCCCAAAAAAAGCAAATATTGTGAAGCAAAATGCCGAGTAAACAAAGCTGGTTTTGGCTTCCAGGAGCTCGCAATTTGTGGATTGTATATTTAAAGTTGAACAAGATTATTCAAGATGTTAAGCTGTATCTCACACCTTTATTGGTGCTGGTTTTTCTTAAAATAAAGACTGTACACACATAAATTATGTCAGAAATACTTAATTGATCCCCAGGGGGAAATTGTGATGTTACAGTTGGTCTGATGTAAAGCGTAGAGAATTATAGCAGTAGAAATTATTAAAGTATGAAATATCTAAATGAATAGTTTCCATGTCAGTGGCTCAAAATCAATCCAGTAATAATTTATTGATTTTAAACTCAACACTGCAACAAGAGGGAAAAAAAAGTGATAATGGGCAGAAGAAAAACCGCTAAAAGCAGAGAAGAGGAGAGAAACTAGTGTTTAGAGAGAGGGTGAAGGTGAAAAGGTGAGAAAGCCTGCAGAGACTAAAGTGTCAGTGTTAAACTATTGGCAGGTTGGAGGCCAGCAGCAGTCACGCTTGTATTACCGAGATGCTAACTTCATGGCTAGCACCTCTGTTCTCTCCCAAACACATCCTGCACAAAGAATGCATCACCTCACCGGCCAACAATAATAATTAACATCCGTCCAGCCAACTTCAAGGCCTCTGTTACCACAGCGGGGGAGGGACAGTGGAAGAGGAGGGGGAGGCAGAACCACGGAAATACCATACAATATGCAGCTCACCATATCACCAACTTATTCTACAGAGCTGGAGCTAGAATAGCAGCGAGCTCTTCACCCCCTCTGGAAGAAAGAGGGAGATCACTCGTTGTGTTTGTATCGTTGGGCAAACATTGTGTTTCTCTTTCTGCAGAGCCGGGCCGGGCCAGACCGCCTCATTTCTTCTGGCATGGGCCCGCACCACTGAACCTTGGCTTTCAATTGCCCCTGCTGGAAGAGAGTCCTAACCACGGCTTGTGGCACCGAGCACCACATGATACAATTAGAGGGCAAGCAGAGCGGCACCTGTCATGAGACGTGAAACCGCAATGGCTTCAAAAATCCAGGGCTTCTTCACCAAAGCCGTTACACAGTAGATTTGTGCTTTGACGGAGGAGAAACACACAAAGACGCAGACCGGACTGGGTATTTTTGTTGGGCTGTTAGGAAGACAAAGTGTTTGGTGACTGGGTGACGCATGTTTGCCTGCCTACCATGGAGGCCAGGGTTCAGTTCCCGGCAGAGGTGCGGTGCTGTGGCTTGGCCCAGTGCTCCAGCTCACAGGTGAGAAGGTGGGATGGGGAGGTGGAATATGTGGTAGAGATAACATGAACCCCCACGTGCACAAGGGTTAGAATTACACGAGGTTTGAAGAAATCCAGGTTAACAGACGGGCCAGCTGTGCCGGGGCTTTTGTACGTATTAAGAATGTGCTCAGACTAAACATAGCACTGCATTTAAAAAGTACAGGAGACTTTGTTGTTGTAGCTGTTTCCCTACAACTACTGGTGACAATATGTCCTCTAGTTTAAGGCTTATCAGATGCTTAATTCTATTTTGGTGATGTTAATTTTACATATCTGGAAAATGATCACAGCTGCACTTATTTAACTGTCCATCTTGACAACTATGAGGTAAGCAGTGCTGCTGTCTCAACACCCATGTTACAGAAGACCTATTATGCTCATTTTCAAATTCACATTTTATTTAAGGTTTCTACTAGAACATGTTTAGATGCTGTATTGATAAAAAAAAACAAACAAAAAAAAAAACAAAAACTTTTTCTCATACTGTCTGTGCTGGAACACCTGTTTTCACCCTCTGTCTAAGACACTCCATTTTGAAGCCTGTCTCTTTAAGCCCACCTCCCAAAAAAGCCCAGTCTACTCTGATTAGTCAGCGTTTTCAGGTCTTCTGCATCTCGGTGTCTCAGTGTTGCCAACTTGGCAACATTCTCGCCTGATTTAGCCATCACTATTATTAAGGGGAGAGCAACCAATGTAGTGACTTCTTCAGCCTGTCCAGGAAAAAGTGAGAGAAATATATTGGAATTGATTCCCATGCATGCTTAGTTATCTGCTGAGTTATGGCAGTACACAGCTTTCCCATCACCAGGGCTGCGATTGAGCTGTGCGGTAGGTGTGAGACAGGCAGGAGGAGACACAGCTCGTCGTGTAAGTGGAGGTTCAGTTGTAGTGAGTTTCTATGGTTATGTTGACACTGGATTGGAAGCAGGAGAAAATGGTAAGTGGTGTAGCTCTCAAGCCATTCAAAATTTCTATTACTTCAATATATATGCAAATGAATGCGGGATGATGTCACCAATATGCACATGCATGTATGATGTCATCTGGGGACTTTTAGCAACTTTGGAGTTAATGCTGCTATTTGCAAGAAATTGGCAAAACTGCTGCACTAGAAATGCAGCTGGAAAACTGCAACAGAGAATAGCGGCACTTTCTGCCATGAAAAGTCAAACCAAACATGTTCTAGCAGGAATATGATCCAAAATCAGGGGGAAATAAATAACATCAGCATCCCAAGATTACATGCTTCCCTGCCGTTAGCATGTAGCTACATGTTGCAGTGTACTTGCAGCAGTGTACTACACAGCTATGACTGTGTATAGCGGGACTTTCTCCAGTTAAAAAATCATCAATGAAAGCTTCTAAACACAACTGGACAAGTTCCAGCAGGAATATGATCTGAAATCAGGGAGAAATTAACAACATCTGTAACCAAGATTACATGTTTCCCTGGTGTTAGCATGTAGCTACATGTAGCAGTGTAGGCTATGTAGGGTAAAGACTTGCAGTAATGTGGAGCAAGGTCTCCGCCAGGATCTGACATCTTGTAGCCAAAATAGAAAAAACATTGGAAATGGAGTATTCAGAACAGTCTGAAGCCCAAGGTTTTTGCTCACAGGGATTACTTTTACATGTGTTTGCCTACTTATTTGAAATTTTGGCCACATTTAATGTGAACATCTGACATTCTGATATTATATATAGGACAGACAATAAGGAAAAGCATTTTAGGTCCCCTTTAACGAGTCTACAGCCATGCTAGTGGTTCTGTGAGACTGTCTTAGGCACAGCTGTACTTTGAGCTCAAAGCTACACTGGCATGCTAACATTCTTCAATGACTATAGAGACATGCTAATTTTTAGCAAGAATAACGTCTACCATGTTCACTTCGTCTTAATTTTGTGTGTTACATTTGCTAATTAGTACAAAATGTGAAGATGGGATGGGATGGGAACGTCTTTATTTTTGCAGGTATTTGATTGTAAACCAAAGTAACAGACATAAAGATTTGACCTGATGATGGTGCTACATCAGAAAGGTGATAACCAAAATTAATACAACTCATCCGGAGAAGATCATGGATATCTGCATGGCTATTCATCCAGTAACTGTTGAGATTACATCTTGAGGTTGATATATTTATTGTTTAATCACTTCCAAAGAAAATGACCCACAACTCTGACGAGGTTAAGTTTGTTTCAGATGTGTTGACTGGTTGTAAACAGCAACAGCTGGACAGAGGAGGCCGTTTCAAAACACTCCCCCACAAAACCCATGGGATCCGGGTGTTATCACCTCAAATCTGACTGGCAATCATATGTTCCCCGGCTGCACTCTTCAAGGTTATCATAACTAATCATTAAAACCTGAAGCTTTCAGAGGATATCCTCTTCAGCCACTGCGAAGAAATCGGTTATCTTGACAGCTAGCTGAGCTACATCACATCCAATCTGACTGAGAGACAGGCTCAGCACAGCCTCTGAGATCAGATAACAGCTGCTCTCTCACCAGCGTGTCCCACAGCTTTTCCATCTCTCAGCCCTGAGGGATCGAATAACAACTGTTCTGGGGCCAGCGTCGTCCGCAGAGTCTCCATCTACTGGCCTGAGGGAGCTGGTCGCTGCCTGGCGAGAGAGAGGCAGGAAGGAACTGGGTGCTTATGTCATTACCGACGGGGTAATTGCACTGGAGTGCCATTGATGCTGAGAGCCTCTTAAAAGGTGTCAGGATTGATTTGGGTGCGGACGGGGCCCCGAGTCTGGCTCATGTGTGTTCTCACCTCGAGCTGACACGCCAAACGCATGTTCCCCCTCTGCTCCGGCCCCCAGGGGAAGCCATTAGCCATGCAGACATGGTAATGGTGTCATTTGAGCCAATCGAGTGTCAAATGAGAGTCAACGCCACGGCTAACTAGCCACTGGGCAATCGCGATATCACACATTACGCTGCTTCAGCCAGACACCTCAGTGTTACTGTTGGTCAGAGGAAAGTGTCTCTAAACATGTCTCTCTATAGCTGTTGGAAGTGAAAGTAGGTTACATAAAGACGTAAATCAACTACTGCATGATGACAGAGGAGACAGCAAATGTTGTAAAGCAATTAATGTTGGTAATGAATACTGCACTGCAAGCCAAGAGTAATGAAATATTATCATCTAGCATAGTTTGGCCATGGACCATATTAAACCTGCGCAAGTGAATTCATTTCAACATTCACATGCTTGTAAAGTGAGTCCCTTCATATGTTGGAGGCGTGGCTTGTTAAAAAAATTCAGTATGATACATTAAATGCAATGAAGTATAAATCACTGAAATATTCGTTACCAGATTTAAACACTTTATTAAAGACCTAAAGCCATTATAAATATGGAGCTTGAATTTGGTATACAGAGAAGAACACTGGAAATCTGCAGTAGTTTTTCTTACTTTTATT